TATATATATATATATAGTTTATTACTCTTTCAATGTTCTGTCTATGAATTTTTCCAATTGACTGTTTCATAGAAAATACCCAAAACTCCACCCAATTTCAAATTAATTTCTTCGTAGATTGTTTTAACATTTAAATATTTATCAAACCTTAACCTCCCAAATATGCACGTTAAAGTAACGCGAATTAACAGCGTCTAAGAATTTGAATGAAACCTGTCGTGTAATTTATTGGGGTTGTTGTAACTTCTTCCTTTAATGTCGTTCTTCTCCCTCACCCCTTAGCCATCTATATCTAGAGACGAGGCGCGTTAAATTTGAGCAACATCTAGCCGACACACTGGGGTTAAAATAGGAAACTAAAATGATACATATGACACACTCATATCCTCTCTCCCACCTCACTTCCTCACTTCGTTAACTTTACGTATACTTGATGAGGTCCGTAAAAAACGTGTGAATTTCTTTTCATTTTTCATTTCAGCTTTTGGAAGTAAAGTCTGATGATCCAGAACCCTGTTAAAGGGGTTATGGCGAAATAGCTTATTACATGGAATCTTAACGTGGTCTGTCTTTTATTCAAAATATATATATTAAAGACATTTTTATGTTTAACGTTCTTTTTTATAGATACAAGTATTTAAGTAAATGCTCTGTTTATAATAAACAGTATTAAATAACATTTACCGGCCTGAATGTCCGAGAAATTTTCATAGAAAATATTCGTCCTTTGACAGGATTCGAACCTGCATCCTATACGGAAGTGTCGTTTACGCTGACGTGCCTTACCGTCTCGGCCACAAAGGAGCGTTCGGTAGGCAAGGTCGAATTTACTGCTTATAAACTTCAATCTTTCATGAATTCGACCTTGCCTACCGTATCATCTTTGGAATTATCCATACGGATTACGAAATATTATTATTATATATATATATATATATATATATATATATATATATATATATATATATATATATATATATATATATATATATACGCGTGTGTGTGTTTGTGTGTGGCAGTGTTGATACACCAGTTACGGATAATTAGCAACATGGAAACTATTATTGATATGCCAGGGATATTTCTTCTTGATGCTATGCGACGAAACAACTAACTGAAATTTACCATGACCAGGACAGGAATATATATATATATATATATATATATATATATATATATATATATATATATATATATATATATATTCCAATATATGTATATCACTGTTAAAAATTTCCAGGTCGGATCCAGCCCCGTAATCCTTAAGTTTTAGATTATTTTTTTTTTTTTTTACGTGACTTTTTGCGACAAATTTTTGGGGTCGACAATTTTTATAACTTGGAAATAAATTTAGAAAGAACCGAAATTAATTGCGAAATCCAGCGAATGTCACCCATGAAATAAAAATATTTGTTTGTACGGAAAGTAAAAACCTACGTACATCAAATTGCCTTTAAATGAAGTGGCGACGGAAGAATTATCGTTGAACTTTCAAAAGGTAAGCTTAAATATTAATGCAATACTTAAATGCAGCGATCAATTTTGAGTTCTTCTGTAGTTTATTGTTGCCTATCGCATACGGCAGCAGTATGCCCCGCAAAAAGAAATCTCTGCCAACAGGCGACAAGATTACAATCAAAACAGCCAAAGCTGCAGCGAGGAAAAGAAAGTCCCATGCAATTAAAATCACAGAAGAAACAGCAGTCAGGAAAGCTGCTAATGCTGAGAATATGCAACGACTTAGGGACTCTCAAACGCCTGAAAAAGCAGAAGGGCCAATCAAGAGCCCTATACAGGAGCTAGTTTAAATGCCGCCTGCTAGGGCGACTTTTAAGCTAGTTTTATATATTTATAAGTCTGTGGTTCGAATATTGCCGTCGCATTTGTTCTGGCACTCCTGCAGTTTATTTAGAGATTCTTGATAAAATCCAAAGAAGAATTAATTGTGAAATCCATCGAAAGTGACCCATGAAATAAAAATAATTGTTTTTAGGGAAAGTAAGGACCTACGTACATCAAATTGTCTTTAAATTAAGTAGCGGAAGAAGAATTATCGTCGAACTTTTAAAAGGTAAGCTTAAATATTAATGCAATACTTAAATGCAGCGATCAATTTTGAGTTCTGTAGTTTATTGATGTCTATCGCATCTATTCCTCCCTATCTATTGTGATGAATGACCAATCAAGAGCCCTCCGCAGGGAGGCTTTTACGCTAGTAGTATATATATATATATATATATATATATATATATATATATATGAGACAACGATATATAAATTTATATATCAAAATATTAGAACTTCATCAGATGAAGTCCTAAAGGACGAAAAGCGTCGCTCGAAAACTTTTTACACTTTGTCATATATATATATATATATATATATATATATATATATATATATATATATATATATATATATCAACTACAGGCAGACTGTTTCGCTGTATCTCATCAGTGTACCTAGACTTCCGATTGCTTCAAGGCAGGATCGAAACCCAACCGATTTGACATCAGTAGGCACAGAGGAAGGTGAATTTTTTACGTATATATTTTAGAATCAACACGCCAGTGACTCATAGAGGAGCATTTCATCAGCAGTAGCAGTCACTGCTTACAAATTCGCGCCTTTCCCTCTAAGGTGCTCGACCGAATTTTATTTTTTGAGTGGCGTATATATTATCATCCACCGACAGACTCTTTCGCTGTATCACAGCTCATCAGTGTGACTATACACTCGACTGCCTCAAGTCAGGATCAAAAACGAACCGATCTGGCATCACTCGGAGATTTTTCCACTTGGCTATCAGCTCCCGGTGGAAGGTGAATTTCTACGCATTTATTTCAGAATAAACACTCCAGTGACTCAGTGCTCAAGTCATAGAAGATCTTTTGCATATATATATATATATATATATATATATATATATATATATATATATATATTTTATCGTAGTTTATTCACAAGGCTACTCACGGAAATTTTTCACTTCCGCGTACTTCTCGTAATTATAAAAGTAGCCTTATGAACAGGCAAATTGAAATAGCCAAAGAAAAATTGAACACCCTTAACACCAACAACAGGACATATATATATATATATATATATATATATATATATATATATATATATATATATATATTACTTTTTTTTTTAGTGGATGTCCGTATTTTAAATAGACGCCCCATTTTTATTTCAAACATTTTAGTATCACATCTATCGGCCTGAGCACTCGAAAAATCTTGACAAAGGAAATGTGGTCACCGGCAGGATTCGATGTTTATTATTTCTTTATCAGCATATCAACACGTTATGGGTCATTTAATGCCGAAATTTAAGTTTCTTGGGAGAGTAATTTCTTTTACAAAAATTTATTGCTGGTATTTTTATTATAAAAATATATTTTTACACTGTCATAGGGTTCGAAACTGCGTCCTGCTTTGTTGGAAAAACCACCGTTTGGTCTATTGATTCAGTGTACTATAAACCACGCGGCCGCTGGAGCAATCAGCCCAGTAAGATTCTGTATCTGTTTATAGATTTCGGATAAAAAATTAAATGTTAGATTAATAATGAATGAATATTATGTAGAGGATGTGGTTGTGTGGTTATTAGAGACTATGAGGTCAACAACCATACAACTAACAAAAAACCCAATGTAGTGTATCAATTTCCATGCCCGTTCAGAGATTGTATCTCTGATGCTAATAATAAATCATCTACATATATTAGTTGTACTACAACCACGCTATCCCGTAGACTAACCTGTCATTTTTCTGATCTTAGTTCTATTAAGCAATATTTCTAAGAAAAACATAGCCGTGTACATAATATTACAGATATATTAGTTGATAACACAACAATATTCACACATACATACAGTAAAAACAACCTTCAGATAATGGAGGTCATCTACATTACAACGAAGCAACCAACACTCAACAAAATTATATTTCAAACTAGTCACAACACATTACATTGCATCTAGATATATGGTTCTGTTGTTAACATTTCCGCTGCTAACTAGAGAGATCTTCGTTTTTCTTATCTTGCTCCAGCTGGCTAAGTACGGAAACATACGTTTTTTGCATACCGCTGTTATGAGTGTCCTGTTGCGCCATCTGTCGTAAAATCACAAAGGACAGTGCTTCAAAAGATATCATGTGTATACCCATTAATGATCTGTTAAGTCATTCTCAGGTATATCCATGAAAATGGAATGCTGTAAAACACACTGGTGCCAGTTTTCTGTGTAATAAAATATGTAGGTTGAAATTTGGCATTTTCTTTAAAAATGGCTGACCGGATGGGGGCAGCACTGGGCAAATGAGTAGCAGTGAAAGGGTTAATATTTCGGTCAATTGCGTCGTATGACGTCATAGAACCGCATCTTGAACTTACCATCTGCGTCTGGTATTCCGAGACAGTTATCGTCGCATAGCGATTTTCTGTGTCAAAATAACAAAATATCATCTCTGACGGTGGATATCTTTGTTTCATGTCTGTATAACCATTCTGACGATGGCTCAAGCGAGCCGAAACTTAGGAAAATAAGAAAATATCCAAATATTGGACAATTTTTGTCTTTATTTTCACCAGGAATTAAAACAAACATTTAAACATTAGAACGGCTCTTGATCAGACATAATAGACATTCATTGTCTGTAATATTTAATAATATATGTTTAAATAATGATCTGCTGCCCCAATACAGTAAACATACATATATATATATATATATATATATATATATATATATATATATATATATATATATATATTTATATTGTTATGGTAAATTACCCATACACTGATGGACTCTTCCAAGTTACAAATAAAAGCAGGTACTCCTTTTTGTCAGTAGAGAGTTTTTTTCCAACCAGTTCTCACAGTTCGGACTTAACATTCTTGCTCGTTTGTATTTTATTGTATTACCGATTTTCGTTATTATATTTGTTAACTCAAATCCATTCTTGTGTCTTTATTCTGGCCTCAACAAGGCCACAACCTATCTATCAATCATTATCTATCTATCTATCTATCTATCGCAGACTATTTATCTATCTATCTATCTATCTATCTCTATCTATCTATCGCTGACTGTTTATCTGTCCTTCTATCTATCTATCTATCTATCTATCTATCTATCTATCTATCTATCTATCTCACATTATTTATGTATCTCCCGCAGAATGTTTACCTATCTATCTATCTATCTATCTATCTATCTATCTATCTATCTATCTATCTATCTATCTATCTATCTATCTATCTATCTATCTATCGCAGACTATCTATCTATCTATCTATCTATCGCAGACTATCTATCTATCTATCTATCTATATATCTATCTATCTATCTATTTATCTATCTATCTATCTAA